AAGAGGGAATACGCCGCGCAAAAGTGATGCAAATACAAATATAAATGTCAACAATTCAGCAGAATAACCCTGATTTTTTGTTCTGTCGTTCTTCTGCTTTGGTCGATGGTCTTTCCACGTAACATTTTTACAATTCAGATTGAAACAGCGACAGCTATAGAAAAAAAAAAAAACATTTTATTGGTGGAAAAAATGCTTCATTCCTTTTCATTATTTCTCCATGTTTTTTTTTTTTGCATGATCGTCTTTTTGAGATACATCCTTTCTTTCCACAGTTACCGTAACTACAGTTGCATACAAAAGCTAAACAACATTTTTCAGTATCCTATACATTTTTATTTTTACTTTTTATACATTCCAGTTACCAAATAATAATAGTAATAACAGAAGAAAAAACAATAATAATAATAATAATAATAATAATAATAATAATATAATAATAATAATAATAATAATAATAATAATAATAATATAATAATAATAATAATAATAATAATAATAATAATAATAAGACAGAAAAGTAATAATAAATAACAGCTGTAACCAGTGTTCAGATAAAAGTCATATCACTTTGATAACATGAAACAAAAATTTTTTTACTAAAACCCCCTTTCAATCTTTCATTTGAAATCAATCAGTCTTTCTATCAGCGGCATAATAAAAGAAAACAAAAATTCAAATTTAATTTTGATGGAAAAATGGAGGGAGACTGATGCACAGTGTCTGAGCATTTAAAATTAGAAACACATCAAAAACAATTTAATTTGCCAAAAAAAACTATGTTTTTTTGCATGATATATGATAGTTATTGTATCAATTTACAAATCTTTTACTCTGCACTGATTAATTAGATAACGACACCATTTTGCTTTCATTTTGGTTCCTTCTTTCTTTTCACAACTTTCCTCCATCATTCCACTATTATGCTATTCATGACCCTTCAGCATTTCACCAGTATCCCACTCCCTTGTCCCCCTTCCATCATCCCGTAAGCATCCAATCTACTTTCCCCTACTAATTCGTCGAAATTTCGTCTATTTGTTCAGCATCTCTACAATATTCCGTTTCTTATATCAAAACACTTCAACAACGTCTAATTCCTCCTTCCTACAGTTTCCTCACACCACCTTTTGATTGACTGATCCGGTAATTTTTCCTGTCACATGAGTGCTCTTCCGCTTATTTTCTCTACTTCTCCATCATTAAACTTTTCGCCTATCCAACTTTCCATCACTTTTCTACTATCCTCTTCTCTTCCTCTTGCCCTCCTCTCTTACTGATACTGTTTTTTGCCTTCCTGCGTTGATCAATGCTGTGTTCTGTACTTTGTTTCCTTTTTCACTCTTTTTCCTTATCCTTCTCAGTTTCCAAATTTCATCTTAAAAATTCTTCTCTGTTTCGATGCTCAACAAAATATTCAACATTTTGAACTGAAGGCGCAGTAACAGTAAAAAAACGTCTTGGAACCGTATGCCGGGACTAAAATGTTGCATAAAATAAAAACTGACTTACCACATGAAAACGGGGAAAAAAAGTAAAGACAATAGTAAGTGTTGAAAAGAAATGAATAAAAAAAACAAAAGGATTTACAATAGCAAAAACTACTCAGAACTTTGAATTAATGCAGCTTGTTAATGCTTTTTCCAATTTTTAGTTTGACTTTTTCTACTTTTTTTTTGTTTCATTAGTATTTGTTGTTGACTACATTTTTTTCATTTTTACTGTTTGTTCACAAATTCGTTTTCCTTTTGATCTTTTCATTTCTCTTTTTTGCAGTACCTAATTGAAGCATTAATTAGATTGCACATATAGATTATGTATGCATACATGTAATTTTGGCTTGCCCGATTTAAACCAGTAGTTTTTGCTTTTAACAGAATCATTAACGGTTAAACAATATTTGTTCGACTTAGATCGGTAGATTGATTGATCGGTGCATTCATATATTCAAGAAAATAGAGTTGTTTTTTCATCACAACTGTGATTTTTTATCAAAGCTGTGCCGTTTCTATTCCTTCGTCTTCCCCACACTTCTGACTTCCTCGTTGCTTCTATATAGTTAAAGTAACTTTTTGCTTCTATTTTCCCACCACTTTATTATCAGTCATTCAGTATTCTACTAAAGTGATTTGAGTCTTTTCTGTAAGCCGTAGGGTTGAGAAAAAAACACTCATTACTTTCTTGCATCATCTTTCAATCTGTTACTCAATTCAAAAATAAAACTTTTTCTTCTTCCAAATCTTTTTGTCATCTGTGAACTTAAAGACGTACGGAATATAAGCTTACAATTTAGTTAATTAACAAAAAAAATTTATTCACTTCAGCATCAAAAACAGTGACAGTTAATAAATTTGAAGCTTCGAAAGAGAAAGAAGAAAAAAGAATAGAAGAGAAAAACATTGAGTAGAAGCCTAAGCACTAATGTTATTTAGTTTACTTACACTTAAGCGTAAACAGCTTAAAAGGTCATACATGAATTGTAATTTTTTGAAAGCAGCATTAAGAAATTAGTGGCTCTTAAAATCTTTCATTTGTTCCGTATGGTTGAGCGACAAAAACAACAATGCACAATCATGATAAGCCTAAAAACAAAGGTAAAACTGGCAAAGCAATAAATGACATTTACCGTGGAGGTCATGTTAAAAACAGCAAACCAAAACACACTAACTGATACAGATTCAATACTAACCGAATGAGGCTACTTTAAGAAAAAAAAAGACAAAAGTTTTATATTTTAACAAAGACTAACATCAACAAATACCAAAACGATGCGTTTTTGCTCTAAGCAGTTTATTGCTTCCGATCTGCCTTGAACGGATCTTCCGGATGACCTTCCAAGCTAAAAGAACCATTTTTTTGAAGATCAGTACGCAAAATGCAGCTTCAACTTTGGGATACTAAGCACAAATATTTGTTTTTCAAACTAAGAATTCCTTTCTTTGCTACTCCAGCTTTTCAAAACGAAAAAAATTGAGCATCTTTTAAAAAAAGTTGACAGTGAAAATGTGCAGAACAAAAAAACTGTAAGATTAATCACTTCAAAAGCTTTCGTGTATTTTGCAAATAACAGTTTTTAGCAGTCAACTTTTTTGCTACATTTTTGTAATCAAGATGCCAAAGTTTATATCATTACATGTCAATCAACTGTAATTCAGATATTTTTTCCTGTTTGAGTATACTTATGGTGATTTTAGATTGCATAAAAAGAGTTTATTTAATTGTTGCTCTATTCCTCCACTACCGCTCCCTACTCATCCTGCAAAAAACAATTAATATTGATCTACTCAAAAACTTGTTTCTGTCCTCTTTTGTTCAAGAGAACTAAGAAATTATTGGTGAAAAAACCAAAAAACGAAATAAAATTGTTATTTGGTGCTCATGCAAAAAAAATTTATTTCTTTCTTTAAAACAGGATAAAAACTAATGGTTAATTTTATTTGCCAACAGTACTTGATACTCATTCTTTCACGTCGTCTTTTTATTCAGTTTTTTCTTCCCCTCTCCCTTTCTTTTTTTCTTTTTTGGAGCTGATTAATTATAAGCGAATGTGACAAACATATGACGATTACTTTCGCATATAACAATTGTTTAGCAGAAAAAAAAGAATTTAGAAACTCACAAATCTTGCAAGAAAAGTCGTTGGTGATGTTTCGGTTGATTCAAACGTTTCATTTCTTCTTCTGTGAGTTCAAAATCAAAAATCTAAACTTGTAAAATAGAAAAAATAATTATTTAAAAGCTCCATTTGCTAATTTATAAAATAAAACGAACATTCCAGTTTTCTTTAATCCTCTTTTCATTGACACTTTTTGGAATAACGATAAAGCCTCTTTGGAACAGATGACGAATTAAGACTTGTGCTGGCGTTTTGTGATGTTTGGTTGCCAGCTCTTTCACCAACGGATCTTCTAACGGGCTTGAGGCAGCTGGCCACGTTAGTTTTCTAAAAGTATAAGTTTCAATCGATTCCACTTGACAACATCAGGTGAAAAAAACTCGAATTTTAATATTTAGCATACGCTCCACTATCAAAAGCTGCGATGGATCTGCCTGGTGAACCAATTGGAGCATAGGCGGTAAAAGTAATGTTATGACGCTTGCAAGCTTCAGCTAACTCAAACTGTGGGAAATACAGGTAACACTCCACCTACAAAGAAAATTTCTATTTCTTTCAGAGCAACTACTCAGCTCTGAGAAGGTCTGCTACTGTACGATTAGTTACCATCACCTTTACCACTTTTAGGACATAATTACGACTTATGTATCTTAAAAAAAGTAATGAGAAAAAACTGTCTACCTGACAGTTATGTATTGGAACTTTGGCAATTTTCATCACTCTTTCAATTTGCTCGATGCTATAATTTGAAACACCAATTGCTTTCGTTAAGCCCTTGTTGTACAATTCCTCCATACCCTACAATTAGAAGTACGCTACGAAATACATCTTGCAAAATTAAAACTACCAAATAGAGTAGGCTAACTTATTTCATTGTAAAGCGAACAAACCTTCCATAGTTGCTCTACGGTGACCGAATGATCTTGCTTGGTCATTTCATGCTAAGAAAAAAATACGTGATAAAACACCAACAGCCAGAAGTTTATTTGAGACAATTAATTTTGGAAAAAAGCTGTATAGCATACTCAATCTTAAGCAGTTTAATAAGCTTACGTTGTATGCACCGGGCACGTGAGTAAGATACAGATCAACGTAATCTAGCTTTAATTTTTTCAGTGATTCTTGAAGTGCTGGTTCAATATCATCTGGTTGGAAATGAGTACACCATAACTAAAAAGTTGTGCGATGAAAGACGTAAACGAAGGAAAATGTTAGAACAAAGTTGTGCAATCTGCTAACAAAGTTTTTTGCTAACCTTTGTAGTGACGAACAAATCTTCTCGTTTAATTTTACCAGCTTTTAAATATTCATCCAAAACTACACCAATTTCCGCTTCATTGGCATAGATTTCAGCTGTATCAATGTGACGATAACCACAGTCAAGCGCATGTCGTACTGCATCACCAACCTCATTTTTTTTTGACTAAACTCATAATTTATCAAACCAATTGCACTTATAATAAGCTTAAACATAATTAGTAAAAAAAGAAAACGAAAGCATTTAATTTACCAATAAGCTATCAACAAAAGAGGCAGAAAAAGAATTCGATTACCAGCCAAGTGCCAAGCCCTATAGCTGGCATTTCAGCGCCAGTAGGCAGCATTATTTTTGGACCTCCAACCACCATGCTTATTAGACCTAAACTGAACAATCATTTCGGATTCTGTTTCCATAAAAGCAGCCCATCGAGAAATGCATATAACAATAAAGTCAAAATACACAGTATATCAAAAGGCACAACAGTTTTAAAAGTAAATAAAAGTTGTTTGTTCTTGGGCAGAGAAGCCAAAAAAGAAGAAGCATTAGTTATAAACTGCTGCAGAATACTCACGTTTATTGGCTCAATTACATGTTCAAAAAGAAAAAGAGCAATTCTTCTCTCTCTTTTTGCAATAAAAATTCAGTATATGCTCTGGAAAAAAATTTGTTTGAAAGACTGTGAAGCAAAAAATTCTAAAATCAACATTTCTTAAGAACTGTATAAACAGAAAGACGTCTGTTCAGATGAGTCAAAAAAATTAAAAGACAATACTGTAAGTCAACGAGTAAAACGCTTGAGGGTTTTTTATTTGCTCAAAAATTATACTTAACTGAACTGATAGTTTGCCTACGGTAATGTGTCAAAAAATCATTTCATGCTTATTCAGAAAATTTAAAATTTCTAACTTAAAATTTTTTAAAAAATTTATAATTTTTTGTTCAGCTTTTGCTAAAACATCAAATTTTTTAACGAGGCATAGAAATAATAAAAAAAAATTTTGAAAAAGGGAAAAAAATCAGCATATTAGGCAAAACTTATAAACCATTATTTTCGACAAAAATTTTACGCCATTGATACGTTGTTGTTTCTCTTTTTCTTTTTTTTTTCTTTACGTTGCAATAATAACTACTTTTTTTTTTGTTCAAAAAAATTTTTTTGTTTGTCATATTCAGTATGTGATCAGAAGGTAAAGCAAAAAATAAATAAATAAATAAATAAACCAAGGTTGTTTAGGTTGACTATAAGTGTAAAAAAAAAAGCAAAAAAAAAAAAAAGCAGAAAAAAAAGTTGAAAAAGTATAGAATTGAGGGATTACAGCTGTTAGGCATACGAACAAATAGAACAAAAAAATTTGCAGACAAAATTTCCAACATTACTTCATAAGTTTCTGTGCAGCACATCAGCAACAACAGTTCCAAAGAAAAAAAGCTGCTTTTTGGAATAGTTGTAAGCAAAAATATATTTATTCTCAAATTTTTTTTTATCATAGTTTCTCCTCGTACACAGCAACACTTCAAACAGCACAGATTATTACAGACGAATAATTTTGGCTATACATATAAGTATATTCAAAATACCAACATTACAGTTGACAATTCAACAAGATACTCAGATACTGCGAATGCCAATCAACCATCTGTGATACCTCAACGGTCCAACACTGACAAATCAGCAACAATTACATAATAATAACATCTAAAAAAAAAAAACTGCAATCAAAAGGAGAAGGTATAAAGCTGGTTAAATATATATATTATTAAAGCAATAAAACAGATACCCCAAAAATAAAACTGTTAGCAATAGCGATAACATATAAAAGTGTTTACAACAATTTGAGATAAGAAAAAAAAAAATTTATTTTTATTTTTTTTTTTCTTTTTACTCTTTTAGGTTGTTTTCTCTGTTAATTTCTTTTCTGCTCTAAAAAATGCGGTAATTGTAAAAATCAAAATGTGAATGAAAAAAAAAAAACGGTATTCTTTTTTCTCTTTACATCTATTCTTTGAACTTTTTCTTTGCTTTACTGCTGTCATCACCTTTCATCTTTTTAACTACTTTTTTTTTTTTCTACTGTTTTATTTAAATTACAGCTGTTTAAAATACTGTTATTTTGACTACCGATAAATGCCTACTGACCATCAGCAAGTAGGAGCAGAAGTAGCAGAAGTTGTAGAAACAGGAGCAGGAGCAGTTTTAACAACACCAATAGACACCACTGAAGAAAGATGAAAAAAGTGCAAATAAATTTGTGGATTAAAAAAATTTTGGCATAATAATAACCAAATAGAAACAAAAATAAACTATCAATAAGCAAAATTTATAAATGGAAGTTCAGATTTTTTTTTTTTTT